GAACTACATACCCCATCATCTTGAAAAACTTAGGGATTTCTTCTGCAGGTTTATCCAGCACTGTAGCTTTCTGGCTGTCTGCTTTGATGTACTTGTACAAAAACTATTGATAATGCAAGTAAAATCAAATCTCACATATTTAATAAAACAGTTCAGTAGTAAGAATCCTCTTATACAATGTCAGGGCAGTCATTGTCATGCTGGGTACAAGCAACAAGTAGGTGGACCGTGGGAATTGAACAATCCGAGATGGTAAGATTTCTGTATAACCCCATCAATTTAATATGCATACAAGTTTCAACTCTACCATTTATATTAAACAATTTGTGCAAAATAGTATGAAATTGCTGCATGCATAATAAAATAATGTATGGGGTTATACGGAAATCTTACCTCAGACAACTTTCATGGTAGCTGGGGGAAATCCCTGGCTCATGGCCCTCGATTTTACCACTCTTTGTAATCAAGGCTCAATCAACAGGGCTCGAAAAAAACCTTCATTCCAGCTTGTCCTTTGGGCAAACACTTCTCGCATTTTGCTTGCCCGGGGCCACTTCTTGCTCTTCTTAGTTAATTATTTAGTAAGAAGATCACTTGCTTAGACCCTCAGTGCCCATTGGGCAAGTGAATTTAAAATTTACTTGCCCGGGCGGTAGAAAATCTCCTTGTCCTAGACGACCCGACAGGACTTTTTTTGAGCCCCGAATCAAGACAGAAAGATCAGCGAGGATCACATAAAAAAGCCTTTTAGACTTCACAACACACTGTAAATTTTTTGCTCACATCTGAACTTTATAGAGATTTAATGTAAAAATTTAGCACACACAGGAGAAGTGATTGCATTGTCCCTTTGACAAGCTACATGTACAACGTTAAGACTTTCTACATAATCACCTGGAAAATATTACAGAACTCTTTCATAGAGGGTGCACTTAGGATTCTCATGGAAATTTGATGTGGATAGTTGAACTCTGTTAGAAACTACAAAAGTAAAAATAATATTGTTAATATAGGCACATTGATCAACCAAGAAATCGCATCGGATAAGAACTGCAACCATCGCAATTAAGGGAAGTCCTACAAATGTTCATTCTAGTTATAAATTAAATCCACATATAACTGGAACTTATAAAACCTGGTATCCCTTTCCATAACACGAACCAATAAGATTGTCAACAGCCAATACAAATAGACTTATACAACGTACCTCCATGAGATATCTAATCATCTTTTGCTGATAGCCTGTGAGGTAAAAAAAAAACATCAGCCATGTACTTAAGCTTAATTTAATTTGCCAGGGTGATTTGCTAGTTCAAGTTCCTAGCCTAGCTTGAACATTTCAAATTTCGCCATTTCAAGAATTTTCTACAGCAACAGTAGTAATATGTGCATTCACCTCTGTCAGAAAGCGGTCTCGGATCTTTCATCTGTACACAGTTCTCTCTTCCATACTGGCTCGAAGGCCTCCTGAAAGATTCAGTTTTCAAGAATGATTCGTTAAACACTCAATAATGCGAGAAGATTATCATTGCTAACCACTGACCAAGTGCAGAAGCACTCTTTTAAGAGTTCCTTACGTATGCAAATCTTAGAATACCGAAAATAACAAGATATAAAAGGCTAAAGTTGAAAACACAGTGGCTTACCTGCCCGTTGCGGATCTTGGGTTCGCCAGAGAAGTTCGCCCAGAGGTCGACGAAGGACGCCCGAAAGAAGTCCTATTTCCGACTGAGGATCGCGGCCCAAGAGAAGTTTTCTTTTCTCGGGCAACTTGCCTACCCTGGTTTCCAATATTTAGTGTTCCAAGAGTTGTTCTTCTCATTTTGGCGACGAGATCGACAAGATTTATAAAGAGCCGTCAAACAACAAAGACAACATGGACGGTTCACTTTGAAAACGCGCGCTGTTGAATTTAGACTAGGTACCAGTCTACGCTCGTGCTGGAAGAAATCTTCATGTACGCTTTATGAATAATACCGTCCGATTCGTTTTGGAGGGGCCGGAAGTGCTGAAAAATTCCTCTTTTTTGAGGAATAGGAGGCTTATAAGTACATACATACATACATACATACATACATACTTTATTTGTCATGTAGGTCAGTGAAAAAAGGCAGCTAAAGAGCTGATGTGGACCTACAAACTAAAAAGTATCTACAAAAAAGTAACTAATAATATTAACAAACCAATGAATTATTTACAATGAGTAAGGAAAAATAAAAAAATACCTAGCAAGATAAACAACAGTTGACTGTTGCCTTAATATATATAATTTACAATATCTTTATTTATTCCCTGTAACCCATTAAATGTTATTTTATCTAAAATGTCAGATTTTTCTTTAAGAGCAGATTTAAAAGAACCAATATTGGGTTTGCTCTTTAAGTACATGGGTAAGTTATTCCATAGAATAGACGCACGATGAGAGAAGGAAGATCGAAGGAAGTCACTTTTAGGGCAACGCACGTATAGTTTCAGACTGTCCCTGAGATTTCTTAATGGAGAATGTTTAATAAATAAAGAATTTATACCAGCCGGAGCCCTGTT